TCCAAGCTGGGACTCTGGGTGTCCCTCCTGTGCACCTGCCTGGGTGGCCCTGACCGACCGCGGTGGCCGGTGCCCCTTGGAGAAAGTCACGGGCCCACAGCCGGGCCCTCGGAGCCCAGTCCGTGGCGGAGAGAATGAGCCCCGTCGGGGCTGGTCCACAAAACTGTCTGCCCAGGCGGCACGTTACTTAGCGTGGCCGACGGCTTTGCTAGAGATGTAGAAACTGAAGCCACCTCTTACGTTTCCAGGAGGATTAACTGTTTCACAACCCTCCACGGCCGGGCCTTTGGCGCCCGTTCATAAAGACTGGATGTTGCTGGCGTCCTGGAGGGACACCTCCGCCGGGCGTCGAGGGTGGAGCGAGGGGCGCTGAGGCCGGAGATCCGGGTGTCCCTCATCCCTCCGTCCGTCCTGCAGCCAGGGGGCTGAGCAAAGCTCCCGCCCGCGGGTGACAGCACCCCGCTTGCCCCCACAGCATGCCGGGGGCTATGCCCCTCTCCAAGGTGACAACCGAAAACGTCTCCAGTGGGCCTGATGTCCCCGGGGGGGCCACCCCGTCAGAACCTCTGTGTGGAGGGAGACGGGCGAGTGGACAGCGAGCTCAGTGCCTGAGACAGCGGAGACGCTGCTGGGACTGAGGTCTGGGGAGGCCCCGTCGGGGTGCCTCTGAGAACCACCGGGAACAAGCTGAGGGACACTGTCCTGACAGGCCAGCCCTCCGCTGCGCCTGGGAGACCACCTCCAGCCCCTGGAACGCGGCAGGCGGCACAGCCCGGTGCCCGCCTAGCACAGGTGTCCCTGAGTGAGCGGGGCAGCCCCCCACGGCCCAGGAGCTCTGCTGAGCGTGGTCACTAAACAGACCCCAGTTCCGGGGTGACCTCAGCTGCAGTTTGCTCATCTGTCCGCACGGACCTGGACAGGCCCATGCCCTGGAGTTACCACGAGCTCCCCGTGAAGGCAGCACCTGGGTCCCACGCCCCTGGGACGTCACTGTGGGGTCCTCACCTCCCAACTGGTCCCCCCACCCGCCTCTCCAGGGCAGGCACCAGCCTGTTGCTGGACACCCAAATCTGGCCCTGGGAGCCCCCACCCCCCTCTGACGCCTTCGGTGGCTCCCCAGTACCCCCAGCCACCTCTGCACCACCCAGCCCTGTCTCAGGACAGCTCGGTCCTTGCTTCTCAGCTCTGGCTGCCGCCCCGGTTTCGGACTTCAGCCAGCAGCCCCAGGACCCCGCGAGGAGCCCGGGCTGCCCCTTCTGTCCCCTCCGTGGGCTTGAACCCCGGTGTCTGCTCAGCTCAGCGCACACGCCGAGAAGCGAGGGGCCCTGGACATGGGGTCCCAGTGGGGCGCGAGACCCCAGGTGGGGACCTGGCTCCAGGTCAGGGAGTAAGCTGTCCATCTTCTTGGGGCTCCAGGGCCTCCTCTGCAGAAGAAACGGTGGGTCGCTTTGGGAAGCACCTTCGAGCCACGTGTCGGCGGAAAGATTCACTTTGTCAGGGAAACTGAGGCCCGCTGGGCCTGAGGTGCTGGAAAAACGACTTAGAGATGAAAACCACCGAGAGGGTTGTAAGCGGTACCAGGATGGCCGAAGGGGTGTGTGACCTGAAGGGCGGCCCTGGAAGGGGTGGCCCCCGTCCCTGGAACCTGTGGACGCTACTTTCTATGAGGCTTCTGCGGGCGTGAAGTCGAGGGTTCGGAGATGAGACAAGCACAGGGGTCCCTTCGAGAGAAAGCGGAGGGGACAGGCAGACCCGGGAGGGGGGGCAGAGGACTGGATTCTCCCAGGAGCCCCCGGAGGGAGCAGGGCTCATGTCCACGGTGAGCCCACGTCCACGGTGAGCTCTGGTCTCCAGGAGAGAGGACGCTCTCATCTTCGACACTGGTCTCAGCACCATGGAAGTGGGGCCCAGGCTCGGACGCGGCAGCCTGGGGACCCCTGCTGCACGGCCGCGACCCCACCTGCCTCCCCCGCTGTGGGCTCCGGGCAGTGGACGGGCAGTAGACAGGGTTGTGATCCACCCCCACTCAGCGGCCCTTGGCCAGCCCCTGGGCACCGGGCGGAGGGCTCCCGTGGTGTCTGACAGACCTGACCTCCCTCCCAAAGGCCTGCCGCCCCCACCGTGGGACGTTCCTGGTCCTTGGGTCCTCGTGTTCTGAGTCCCGTCCTGTCTCTCCCCACACGGGGCCCCTGGTGGGCGCTCCCAGGGACCTGAGTCTCTCCCACAGACTCTCTGCAGTCACAGCCCCCACCTGGTCCCCCATGTGTGTTGGGGGCAAAGGATGAAACCCTCCCCCAGCCTCCACCTGCCGCCTGTCCGGGTCTGCAGGTCTGGGCAGGGGCTCCCTCACTGCACCCGCCGCCCTGCAGTTCACTCCTGACCCTGCAGTGTGTGCTCCGCCCCCTCCTCAGTCCCCGGTGTGGGCACAGGTGCAGCGCCGGCGCCCTCTGCTGGCCATACCGGGGACTGCGGCACACTGGGCCAGCTGCAGGGACCACAGGCAGCTGCAGGGGCAGGGGGGCCGGGGGCCGGGGGCCGGGGGCCGGGTCTCAGGTGCAGGCAGTTTGGGAGGCCCCAGGGCAACACGTGCCAGCGACAGCATGTCCGGGCTACAGGCTTTCACTGTCCACAGGGGTCTCATGTAACAACGCCGCCCGGCACGCTCCGTCTCTGCAGGCACCTGCCTCTGGGGGACCCTCCTTCCCTGGACTGCTCGGCAGGTGAGCCTGGGGTGCCAGCACCCCCTGGAATGGAGCCCAGCTATGGGGTGCCCCCAGGGGCTCCCAGCTGGGACGAGATGCAGGTGTGGGCTGCATCCTGGAAGTCGGGGGCTGGTCCACCTCCCACCCTTCTGAGCCCTCCAGCTCCTGGGCAGAAAGCTGTCCGCAGCGCCCCACACCACCCCACGTTGTGGTTCTTGCCTGCTGTCTCTACGGGCTCCACATCAGCTGTGTCACCTCCTCCTGCCCGTGAAGCCGCAGCGGAGGGTGCTGGCCGGGCCTGGTCCCACCACCTGGGCCGCCGCGTGCTCACCTGTCCCTCTGGCCAGGCCCCCACTGGTCGTGTGCCACAGGCCTGACCCGGGGCTGGCCCAGCACTCCTTCGCCCGGGACACGGAGGGCTCCCGACTCTCCTGGCCTGCAGCCCGGCCAAGCCCTGCTGTGGTCCAGCAGGAGCGGTTTCCTGCGCATGTCCCTCTTCACAGGTGTCTCCTCACAGGCGCCCAGTCCTCAGGAGGCTCTGAACCGACCGTCCAGCAGCCGGTGTCCGTCAGGCTGTCTCCGTCCTCCCCCAGGCCGGGCTCGAGCCATCTCGGGTGCCCGGACCCGGCCTGCGGCGCTGGGTGAGAACCGCTTCCCCAAACCAGAGAGGGACATGCCGCCTGCCCCGGAGCACGAGTCTCAGAGCTGTTTCCGCGGGTGCCTGCCCTCGGCCCAGGGCTCTGCTCTCTGCACCGCTCCCGACACGCCCTGAGCTGTCCGTCCGTCCTTGGTCTCGGCAGTGGCTGCGCGGGCACTGGCGAGGTGACGCCGTCCGAATGGACGTTCCCAGGACACCCAGCAAGTCTGCGTGCAGACAACAGCCCGCGAGGGCACCTGGGCAGCCTCCCTCCACGCACGCGGGCTGAGCACGGACTCAGCGGCAGTGCAGGGAGTGGAGACCGAGAGGGCCCATCCTCTCCTATTTGTTATCCTCCCCCGGGGACATCTTTCCATTTTTTGTTCAGATGGAGTGGGAGGGAGAGAGAGGAAGGGAGAGAGAAATATCGACGTGAAGGGGACACATCAAGTGGCTGCCTCCCGCACGACCAACCAGGGCCGGGGACAAACTGCAACCGCGGTACGTGCCCCTAGCGGGAACCGAGCCTGGGCCTCTCTGGACCGCAGGCCGACGCTCTGACCGCTGAGCCACAATGGCCAGGGCGCACGGCCTGTTTCTCACTCTGCGAGGCCCCCCTCCGAGAGCCCGGGAGCCTGTGAGGGGCTGACTGTCGGCCTTGCTGAGAGCACGGGGCCTGTTGGGGTGATCGTCTGCGCCGCCGAGCCCGGGGGGCCTGTCAGGGGGTGACTGTTGGCCTTGCTGAGAGCATGGGGCCTGTCGGGGTGATCATCTGCGCCGCCGAGCCCAGGGGGCCTGTCAGGGGGTGACTGTCGGCCTCGCTGAGAGCATGGGGCTTGTTGGGGTGATCGTCTGCGCCGCCGAGCCCGGGGGGCCTGTCAGGGGGTGACCGCCAGCCCTGGAGCACGGGCAGCCTGCTCAGTGCTCTGCAGGCCCACACCATAGGCGTCACCGCCACGGACCCGACTCTGTCGGGTGACAGGCGAGCACCTGTGATGAGCCCAGTCAAGGTTCGGAAGCTGAGGTCCACTAGGGCGGAGCAGAACTACCACAACGATTCGGGTATGACTCCAACACGGCCTTGGGAAAAAAGGAACATTTAATGCAAATGTTTAGCCATTAGAACATACAGATAAATAAATAAGCTCAGAAGAGCTGAGGAAAAATAAAAACCAGGTAAGTGTGACTGCCCACTTCTCTTCAGTCCCGGATATTCCCAAAATACTGAGAATAAAATACAAGTCAACTAGCAGATGAAGAAACAGAACATTCAACATAGAACCACATGAAATAAAAATAAAACCAAGGACAAACCCTAATTATTTTATTTCTGTGTATCAAGACTACAAATAGCATTTAGCACTTAATTTATTATTCCAAGAAGGAGGATCACGTCGACGATGTTCCTTGTCCGAGAACTGTCATCGGCCGCACGGAGAAGCGTATTGCTCATCGGGTTGGTCCAGGGACAGCCGGCCGCAGCCCTGACTGCAGACGCTGAGGCGGAGTCCGGGTCGAGGTCCAGGCGGATCCCGGCCGGCGCAGGCGTGGTGGCCCCACGCTCACAGCGGACACGCGTTTGCAGGGACCAAAGTCACCCAGCAAGTCAGGCCCTGATAAAGTGCTATCGCTCGGGAACCACCCCCCCGACACGAGTTGAGGGCCGTCCCGTCCTCCGGAGCAGCACCATCGAGGGAGCAGAGGGTGAGCTGCCCCGACATCCAGGGGCGGGCGGCCGGCCCGGGGGCGAGGGCCGGGCCGCACAGTGAAGGTGCAGCCGCCACGTTGGTTCAGGTGACCACGGAGGTCAGTGTCCGTCCTCCTAGGTCGTCCCTGACTGGGGCCCACGTGGGGGGAGCTGGACAGAGACCCCGAGAGCTTTCCCAGCAGAGACAGGTGGGAGGAGGAAGCGCACTCCTCACACACAGTGATGCCCAGGCCACCACGATGTGGGCGCCGGTGCACCAAGGACGCTGGCCAGGCCCCTTCGGAGAAGCAGCGTCAAAAGCACAGACAAACGCTCTCAGTGTCTCCGAACCTCCCCACTTCGGGAAAGGCAGCAGGAAAAATGCCTTCAGTTTGAACAACAGGCTTGTAAGCAGTTCGACCACACGAGTAGCAGTGCCCCTGGGGTCAGCACCCCACCTCCCAGACCCTGTGTCTCCCCAGACCAGAGCCTGCCTGACCCAGCAGCAGCCCGGGAGCCCAGCCCAGGGGCACCCGGCTCAGCAAGGCCTGGAACCCATCAGCAAAGCCAAAGCTGCATCTTTGGTTAATTTCAGAGTTGCCACTAGTCCTAAAACTGTGCTCTTGGCAAAATCACTGAATGAGCCGCGTGGCACATGACATTTGTTATTGTAAGTTATTTGAAAAGCAACGTCCCTCTGAGTGAGTGACCGTAACTGAAATCGTGTAGAAACAAGGGGTGACAGACAGGGGTGTGGGAGAGCTGTGGGCGTCCAGCCTGAGCGTCGGCGGCCTGGGAGGAGCTACTCACGAGGGGCAGCGGCCTGTGCTGCGGAGGGCGCGTCCCAGCTCTCGCTCAGCTCAGCTCGAAGCCCGCGGCGCCCTCTATGGCGTAGAGCAGCTTGCCCCGCAGCAGCGCCTCATCCTGGAACTCGGGCAGCTTCAGCAGGTTCATGCAGGTGCTGGCTGTGGGCAGCCGCTCCAGGTCAGGGCCGCCGTTGTGGATGCAGAAGGCGGGGTGCAGCTCCTGGAAGACAGCACCGTGAGCACGGCCGCCAGCGCGCTTCGAGACGAGACGGGATGCAGGTCGGGCGGCACGAGGGCGGGCGCGTCGGCACAGACAGGCCCACGCTGGCGGACAAGGGCTGCAGCCAGAGCACCTGGCCCACGGCCCTGCTCGGATGGGGCCTGGCCCACGAGCAGCACCGAGGCCCTGCCAGGCTGCACGTAGGGGGAGCTCAGCCCTGCTCTGGGCCTCGGCAAATCCAGGAAGCGCAAGGCCCACAAGACACTAACAGACACTTCCACGCTCCTTACTGTCGACCTCTGTCCGCTTCTCCACTGTTCCATCAACTTCATTAAACAACATCTGTGCATGTGACACGGGCTAAAGACTACGTCTCATCTCCCTGACTGTCATCTACACGCTGCTGTGAGCGTCTCACAGACACGCAGAGCAGGAAACAGACAGAGCAGGCTCCTCTGCCTTCATCACGGCCTGCGTCTGAGGACACGCAGGGCGACCTTCCCTCAGACGCGTCCCGTGAAAGGAAGCACCAGGTTTTGAGAAAAGGACCCGTGACGGCAGGTCTGCGAGCCCCGGGCCATGTGACCGGTGAAGGAGACTTGAGTGTGGTTTGCAGCTAAATGCCACATTTAAGTGTTCCTTTCACAGTATTAATTGAGTTTCCTACTTGGAGCCTGAAAGTGCAGCCCTGCACGGACGGCCCACCTCGTGCATAACTGAGCGAGTGCAGAGGGATTTGCATTAGTCCAGAGCGAGGAGAGTCTTCTATTCATTATGTGGCCTGATGGCAACTTAACAATTTCCTACAGCACTTTAATGATTTTTTTGTCTGTAACAATCACATTCATTAAACATATTAAACTTTAATTAGCTTTAGCAGATGTTATTCTTCTTCAATAGCCTGGCACTGAGGAGTTCCGGCTCGCATCACGCAGCCGCCTCTACTCACAGGCTCCACGGCGAGACAGGCGCCCCCTCCAGGGCACCCCGCTAACAGGAAAGCATGCATATTATGGCGATTTTTCCAAACTGAAGTCTAACTTATGACAACTGCAAAAACCTTTGAAAACATTTAATCTATTTTAGATCATTGAAAAGAATCTAAACTAGGAAGATTATTTCATAGCTTCCAAAACAGAATTTTTCATAATATGACACTCAATTGTCAGTGTACAGGGTCATCGACTGGACCAGGGGCTGCTCAGGGAGGGCCAGCCTGCAAGTCTACAGCGAGGACCTGCCTTTCCTGCCCCTCTCGTCCTCTTTCTTTTCTCTGCATCATCTTCAGATGGAGCGAGGGGGCGAGAGAGACACTGATGTGAGAGACACACTGACTGGCTGCCACCCACAAAGCCCTGGGTGGGCCGGCGACAAACTGCAACTGAGGTACGTGCCCTTAGCGGGAACCAAACCAGGGTCTTTCTGGACCGTGGGCCGGCGCTCTAACCGCTGAGCCAAATTGGCCAGGGCCCGTCCCTCTTTTTAAAATAAATGTTTTTACTGAATTTTTAGAGAGAAAGGGAGAAAGAGAAACATGGATCAGCTGGCTCCTGCACGCCCCCTACTGGGGATCAAGCTCACAACCCGGGCATGTGCCCTGACTGGGAATCGAACCGGGACCTCTCCGTCCATGGGCCAACACTCAACTACTGAGCCACACCGGCCAAACAAGATCATTGGCTTTAAATGACTGACCAGGGGCCAGTAGAAATCTCTAGACCTAAACTCTGCTTAACTTTTGTACTGATGTTGTTTTGAGGCCGGAAGATACTAGAAGCCTCGTCTGCCCCAGTAAACCTCACTGATACAAGCCCTGCTGTCCTGAGATCTCAGGGGTGAGAACTCCACTGTGGTGACGGTCCTGTGTGTGCATCTCACCTGCTCTGCCCTGCGCCCCTGGCCCCTGCACAGCGCCATCTCCAGACCCCACGCCCCTGAGGAGCGTGCCCCACGACAGTGAGGCAGAGCCATCCATGGGTCCCCATCGATGGGGGTCATGAACCAAGGCGGAGCGTCGCTGACTCCCTGACTTATGGCTTGGGTGTTGCTTGTCCAGCCTCCGGAGCAGACAGCTGACTCTGCAGCCAGCACTGAGCCGACCCCATGTGTCCACCCTGTGACCCGCCTGTGTGCTCGAGCCGAGTGACCTGCCCTGACAGGGCAGGGACGGGAGTCTACTTCTACCAGCGTCGCTGGACAGTGCTGCTCCCGGAACCCACCGGTGCCGACGGCTGCCCCCTTCCCACTGCCCAGTGCTGTGGCTCTCGCATCGTGAGGTGCCCGTGTGCCCATGCACCTCGACCGTGACCACAGCTAGAAAGCTGAGCCGCCGTTCCCGCAGTCCGGGTTCGGGGTGGTGCCATGCCCCAAAGCCCGGCTCCCCTCCGCCCTAGGCAACCCGAGCTGCCGTCCCTGTGGGTGGCCTTCAAGGACACGCTGTGCACGTGGGGTGACAACCCCTCGCTGGTGCTGTGACAAGAATAGCACTGCACCCCTTAGCTTCTGGGGGCCGCTGGGTGCCGGGTGTGTGCACTGTCTGTGTGGGTGCTCTTGTGCGTAATGCCGCTCTGAGCACCCACAGGTGGCCCTGTGAGCCACGGCATCCCGCCTTCCACCCACTGCTGTCGGGGGCCCGCTCCTTGCGCTCCGGGAGCGTCGAGCAAGCCTGCCTGCGCCCAGGGGAACTGAGGAGACAGCTGCAGCGACACAGCCAGCAGCCAGGGAGCGGGCTCTGGGCGGACCGGGCTCCCCTGCACGGCGAGGACCCGCCTCCTCTTGGATAGCCCGCTGCAGCCAGGGAGGGAGAGAGGGTCCCTCAGCTCACCCGGACGGCTGAGACAGAAGCTCGCAGCAGAAGCAGGGAGCTGCGTCTCCGCCCGCCCCCCGCACCTTTCCGCAGACCTGAAGGGCACACGGGCCAGGTGCCGAGTGCACCACAGGGAACCGCCAGGAAGCACATGCTCCTGTGCACCCTTCTCCCCACACACGCTGCCCCCCTCACAGAGACGCACGGGCGGAGGTCGGCCTGACAGTGCAGCAGACTGGGGTGCTCGTGGGCTGGGCCACAGCAGGCTGTCTAGCGCCCGCCGCCCGCCCACAGTGCCGTGTGAGCGCGGGAGGACAGGGAACGAGCAGACCAGGAGACAGGCAGCAGGGGACGGACCTGGCAGAGGCGTCACGGCGCCCGCGCGGCCGGCACAGCCCAGCACTGCGCCGGGTCCCTGCACAGCGCCCCCCGCAGGAGCCGCGCTGTCCCGCTGCCTTTCTCAGCTGCGAGGCTCTGTCGCAAGTGCGCAAAGTGGTACCTTGAACCCCAGGAGAGGGGGGCGGGAGCAGCTGGTGACGAACTTGAGCAGCTTGCGCTTCTCCTCGTCCGAGAACCCCTCCACGACTCGCCAGAAGACCCTGATCACGGGGTGGTCCGCGGAGTAGCCTCCTGCAAAGTGAACACGTTCATCAGAACGAGCCGTGAGCACAGGGCGCCCTCCCGGAGCCCTGGGGACCGCGGACGAGGGCGGGGCATCAGCGCAGAGGCACAGGACGGATGGCTCTGTCCCTCCGGGTGAGGGCAAGTTCAGAGGGGACAGAGCCTCTGGAGGGGTCAGCGGGCCGAAGGCCAACATGGGGTCACAAGGCGACCCAGTGGCTGAAACGCGGCCAAGGGTCTGAGCCTCAGGCGCTGTGCTGGGGTCCACGCTGACCGCTGAGGAGCAGACCCTCAGTGACAGCATCACACAGCCGGTCTGCCCGCCCTGCCGCGGCGTCCTCGCCCACCCGACAGGGGGCCCGGCGTGCAGCCAGCTTGCCCGCTGTGCTGAGTCCGCGTCTGCTCTCGGCCTGGTCTGCTCAGGGCTCACGCACACCGGCCGACTGCGCGACCGTCCTCCTCGCTCACGCACGGCAAATGGCACCGCAGCGTCTAAGTGCAGACTGGCACCTACACGGACGTGATGACGGAACCCCGTTTGTGGGAGTGGCCGCGACCCCGAGTGAGCCTCTGCATGGACGGCAACGCCCAGCCCGAGACCACACCTGGCGGGGAAGGCGGGCTGGGCTCCCTTCTGACCTGCGACTCGACGGGGACAATGTGCTCAGGTCACCTCCCTTCCCAGCCCAGCGTGGCACCTGCCCTCCCCTTCAGGAGCCCGCGCCCACAGCCCACCATGACCCCACCTCCCTGCCCCCAGGGCCCAGGGCGTGGCCTGTCCCACACATTCCCCATGAGCTGACCCCACGACACGTCCTTGTGTGTGTGGGAGGCGCATTCACTCAGCATACTGTGAACACGCATTTGAGCTTCCTTTGAGCCTTTGTAATCTCACTCTAAGCACAGACCACGTTTGTCTGTCCTCTTGTCTGCTGACGGACTTCCGGCCTCTGCCTGCCGTGACGTGGGCACAGACCTCTTCAAGTGCTGGGCCCTTGCTCCCCCCCCTTTGGAGGGGCCGGGAGTGGGACTCGCGTTCACAGCAGCTGTGTCCAGACCCCTGGGCACCGCCCCCCCCCCAGCCCTCCCAGCAGCCATGAATGGGCTCGTTCTCCACGTGCTCACGGACGCTCGTTGTTCCCCGCATGAGTGTGGCTGCCCTGTCTCCCTAACGCAGCTTTTGGAGCACAAAGGCTTCAACTTTGAAGAAATCCGATTTCCCATCAGTATCTTTCTTTTGGGTCACGTTTTGGTGCTCAGCTCTGCCTCACCCGCAGCTCAGGAACAGCTTCTCCCAGCTGTTATTTCAGCAGTTTTACCTACAGGCCCGCAGGCCTCATGATTTCCCACTGTCTGCATCACTGAACAGTCGGACATCAGATGGGCCTAATGCCAGGCTCCAGTCCTGGTCCCCGGCAGGGCTTGTGCGACATCGGCCACCGTGGAAGCTCTGCCCAGCGCCAGGCCCTCAGCTCTGCGGTGCCAACGGTCCAGCCACTTCACGTTCTTGACATTTCCATATGACATTGAAAACCAGCCTGTAGAGTCCCCATCGGACTGCGGAGATTTGACAGGCACTGCACTGCATTTGTAGATTAATTTGGGGAGAATCAATCGCATTTCGATAACACTGAGTCTTCTGATCCCTGACAACAGATTGTCCTCCGTTTATTTAAACAGCGTACAAGTCTCGCACATACTTTGTAAATTTGCGTTTTATTCGTTTTGATGCTCCTTTGAATAAAGTTGTTTGAACTGACGCTATTCCTACTGAGTATAGAAGCGGACCAGTCTCTGCACGCTGGCCCGTGCTGCGGCCTGTGAGACTGGTCAGCCCTAGTGCCCGGTGTGTTCAGTCACGTCATCTGTGAGAAGTCCTACTTCCTTCACCTTCTGCTTTCCAAGGGGTGTCTTCCTCCTCACTCTCGTCCGCCACCTCCTGCCGACTGGCATCGTCTCTCTGCAGCAGCTGGACGCCACGTGGTGCAGGCACAGCCACGGCCTGCACCCCAGGCCTGTCCGCTGGGGATCTCCCGACGTCCGCTAGCAGGGTTAGGGAGAGCCCTTCCGTTCCTCCTTTCTTTTTTTTTTTTATCCTCACCTGAGGACATTTTTTTTTTTTTGATATTTTGTTCAGATAGAGTGGGAGGGAGAGAGAGAGAGAGAGAAACATTGACGTGAAAGCGACACATCGAGTGGTTGCCACCCACACGACCCAACCAGGGCCGGGGACAAACTGCAACCGAGGTACGTGCCCCTAGCGGGAACTGAACCCGGGTCTCTCTGGACCGCAGGCCGACGCTCTAACCGCTGAGCCAAACCGGCCAGGGCCGTTCCTCCCTTCTTGAGAACCTTTATGCTGCACGCTCAGAGGGCTGGGTGGTGAGAAGCAGCAATGGCTCCCCCTCTGCTCGCGTCTGCTGCGCCGATCGCATGGCTCCGTCCTCCCTGGCCCGGTGCCTTGGTCCTGCTCCGAGGTTACACGAGCCTGAGCCGGGACAAAGGCTCGGTGACCGAACCGTGTGTGCTGCTGGTTCAGCTTGCAAATGCCCGAGGATTCTGCACCTGTGTCCTGAGGGCCTCGAGTCCACATCTCCATCTTTATGTCACTTGTTTGCCTCGGGTGCCAGGCTGGGACTGGCTGAGGGGAGACACCTCCACGCTCAGCCACAGCTCCACGTCCCACACAGGGTATGCTTTCATGCCCTGCAAATGCTTTTTTTAAAAAAATTATTTCTTCATTGATTTTAGAGAGAGAGGAAAGGAGAGGAACAGAGAGATAAAAACATCGACGAGAGAAAACACTGGCCGCCTCCTGCACGCCCCCCACTGGGGATTGGGCCCACAACCTGGGCATGTGCCCTGACCGGGAATCGAACTGGCGACCTCTTGGTGCAGGGTCGACGCTCAGCCACGGAGCCACACCGGCTGGGCTGCCCCGAATATCATTCTAAAGAAAATATGCATTTCAAAATATTTAGGAAAAAGTACAACAAAGAAAAATCACCTGTAATTTCATTAATTGTAAATGACCAGCACCATTTTTTAAAACTGAAAGGAATTTAAAGTTTTCATGGTTGTAAAAGCAGATCACGCCCAGCGCGCACACGTGGAGAGTAGAGAAAGGAAGCAGTGCTCTGAGGAAGCGCAGGGCTGGCATCTCAGGCACAGCTGTTCGCACTCTGTCTCATCCAGCTTCGCCGGCACAGACACAGGTCACAGAAGGCGCATCTGGGTGTGAAACACTCTGAGACGTCCGTGCGCACGGCACAGACGGCCCAGCGCGCACACGGGGAGAGCAGAGAAAGGAAGCAGTGCTCTGAGGAGGCGCAGGGCCGGCATCTCAGGCACAGCTGTTCGCACTCTGTCTCATCCAGCTTCGCCGGCACAGACACAGGTCACAGAAGGCGCGTCTGGGTGTGAAACACTCTGAGACGTCCGTGCGCACGGCACAGACGGCCCGGCAGCTCGCAAGCGCAGCTCTATGAGCGCAGCAGGCTCTGCACCGTTCTCTGCGGGAGAAGAGAGCCTGCAAGTGCAAAGTGCACCCTCAACTATGTGCAGGGATGTGTCTGTTTCCAATGAGCACATTCATGCTGACTCACCCCAAAACTGTTCCTATCCTTTAGTAAGTAATTCAACTTCTGGGCTTCTCTCATTAAAAAAAAACAGACTTGCCCTGGCCGGTGTGGCTCAGTGGGTTCGGTGTCACCCTCTGCACAGAAAGGTCGAGGGTCTGACTCCCAGTCAGGGCACGTGCCCGGGTGTGGGCCTGTCCTGGTCCTGTTCGGGGCGTGCAGGAGGCGGCAGTTGATGTTCCGCTCTCACATCAATGTTTCTCTCTCTCCCTCTTACTTCCTCTCTCTCTAAAAATCAGCAAAAATATTTTTAAAAATAGACTTTACACATAGGCAGAAATATAAACAAAGTTGCTTATTATAGTGGAAAGTTAAATCATATGTGTTCATTCAATCTCAAAAATTAATTGCAAGAGTAACAGCTGGGGAATATTTTGTTTCTGATCTAACCAAACAGAACATATACTACAAATTGTAAAACACCATAAGCTACATAGGAATTTGACTGGAATAGACTATGATTAAAGATGACTAAAAAAATATACCAAACTGGTTTTTTTCAGGGATGATTTTTCTTTTTCTTTTCACCATTCCCAAATGTATATCATGAGGTTACTTTTTTCTTAAATCCTCACCCGAGGACACTTTTGCATTCATCTTCAGATAGAGCGAGAGGAAGAGAAAGAGAGAAACATCGATGTGAGAGAGACACGCCGAGTGGCTGCCACCTGCACGACCCAACCAGGGCTGGGGACAAACTGCAACCGAAGTTCGTGCCCTTAGCGGGAACCGAACCCGGGTCTCTCCGGACCGCAGGCAGATGCTCTAACCGCTGAGCCAAACTGGCCAGGGCTGGCCAGGGCTACTTTTTAAAAATTTTACAAATGCCCAAAGGCCACCGACTCTCACTGTGAACCACCTCATCATAGTGTGTTTGCTGCTTCTCTGAGGACTAAGGTTGACGAGCGTTTCTCTACGTGCTCATTGTATCTGTGTGTCTTTTTTTCGATTTTTCACTTTCTTGAAAAGTAGAAACACTTAAGTTTAATTTAATCGAAACGTAAAGATTTCAGTGAGGTCCAATTCTTAGCCTCTCTTTTCTTGCAGGTGGTTGGGTAGTGCTGCCGTCAGAGCACACAGCCGAGGGAGCGTGTGGGGAGGAGCCGTGTGCGGGAGGGGGGTGGGGAGAGGAGGAAACCTGTCTGCACGAACACGCAGAGGCACAGCAGGGCCATGGTCAGGGTGGGGCAGACGGGCCACAGGGGAGGCGAGGCGCCGTGGGCCTCACTACACTCTGGCTCTAGACCCACGTGGTCAAATTTGCACCTACACTGAAGATTCTGCGGAAACAGGATCACCGGTGACATTTTCCTGAACACTTGGCACAGTGAGGACATACCTGAGTAGTTCGTGAAGGACTTCAGGTCCTCTAGACTTATGGGAACTTGCGCACCAGAAATCAGCACCTGGAAGAAAATGCACCTCTAAGCCTGGAGGCAGGTGGGCAGGAAGGCTCCCGCCCGACGTCCCAGGCCCGGCGGGCGGCGGACCTGGATCTCCTGCTGGTCGAACATGCGCAGCCACTCCAGGTTGAGCACGTTGGCCAGGCCCTGGCGGAAGGCCAGGCAGTGCTGGCGGATCTGTCTGTTCAGCCTGTAGTCGGCCACCAGGTGGATGTACGCGATGCGGTTCGCGCTGGTGACGGGGATGTCCTTCCCACCACACTTGAGCTCAACTACCTGGGAACGTGGAGACAAAGGCATTAAATCCACGAGGCACCGCCGCGGGGCAGAGGGAGCAGAGGGCCGTGTCCATGGGCACGAGGGCGGCTGGGGCGAGCAGAGGGGGCACCCCAGCACTGAGACGGCAGCTCCCGGGCTCGGCATCTCAGCCAACGTCAGCACCACGGACCCTGCTCTCCCCACAGACCAAGGAACCAGGCAGCAGTGATCACAGCTCTTTCGTTCAAAAAATTAGGGGTCACACTGGGCCAAGACGTGAACGAAGTGATCAACAGAAGCCAGAGGGACCCGTTTTAGGGAGAGCACAGCTCTGGAGCACGGGCCGTGGGGAAGCGACCCCCCTGCTCTGTCTCCCCAATGTTGCTGCTGTGGCGCCGGAGTGGGTGGAGGGGCAGCAGGAGCAGTCAGAGGCCTGACCTGTCCACCTCTGCATGTGAACAGAGTTGGAAAGGACAACTGTCCATCGCGGTGAACACGCAGAGCCTGCGCCCCAGCCCCCGGTCAGAAGCCCTGTGAGAAGGGGCTGGGGCAGCCACAGGGCCACACACAAGTGATCTCCCCCGAGCTCCTTGTCGTTCGTGAAGTGGTGACGCTGCCCGCCTGCCCTGGATTGTGGTCACGTGAGCTCGTGTGAATGACGCCGACTGACACACACCATGGACGAGAGCACCAACGCCTCGCTCCCCAGAGCTGCTTTCAAACCATGTCTGTGTGCACTCGGACGGAAGACGCGCTCCTGGTGCGTCTCAGCAATGCCGTCCACGCTGAGGGGGGGCAGCGCCAGCGTCCCCACTCGGGGAGCAGCGGAGGGACACTGCAGGGCGGGCTCCCGGAGCCATGACCGAGTAACAAGACAGCACCAGCCCCTCGGGAGACAGCTCTGCCCGGGTCCCCGCGTTACAGAAGGGCTGCTCTGGAACCTGCAGGGGTGCCTCCCTGAACACAGCCACCCCGAGTCGATGGATACAGGAGCGTCCTGCCTAATAAAGTGATCCGGCCTAGTCAGACTCTGGGGGCTCACCGCCTCTCACTGGTGCATGTTCCTGGGGGTGCTCCCCGCCAATGTGCCTGTGACCCAGAAGACCAAGGACCCTTTGGGCATCAATTAAAGACCCCGTCAGACAGCACACACTTTTCTAGGACTCTAACATGGCCACACTCGGTCACTGAAACTCCTCTCGACTACACACCTGAACAACTACCTGGGCTCACACAGCTGACTGTCGCGAAGTCTGGTGCACCTGCGTCTGGAGTGCGGGCAGAGCAGCTCCACACAGCACTCAGGGAGCCCGCATTTCAAGTGGCTCAGAGGCCCAGTCCCCCCCCCCCACTCACAACCCTCACGGGCTCTCCCCGCCCTGGAGCAGCTGCACCCCGAGGTTGTGGAGGGGCTGCACACTGACCCAAGGTCACTCAGCACAGCAGCAGCAGGACTCCCACTGTGGCCCCGACTCAGGTCCGTCTTCTCCACAGAGCACGGTCATCCTGGGCCCACCTGAGCCCGAGCAGCTCCTCGGAGAGGTGTGTGCGCACACTAGCAGGTGGACGCACAGCCACACTGACCACACTCATCACACTGGAGAAAACACACCTAGAGTAACCCTTGTCCTGAGAGGGAAGGCTGACCCCGAACCCGCCACGCGATGGAGTGGGAGCACATCACAGACCTTCAGTGGTGGCAGCCCACAGCCCTGGGCCTCGGAGGGCTGTGGGCCATACCTACTGCTGCAGAGATCTGAGATCCCCAGGAGGGGCTTTCCCAGTGACTTCCTCACGTTTTCCAATCAGACTCCTTAGTGTAATTATCCTTGTGCAGCACCACCTGTACTTGGGCAATATCCAGAGTGACTGGACCATCAGCCTCACACCTGCCTTCAGCGGAGGCCGCACTAGCAGGGGTCTTCGCACACACTGGACAGCTCACGGCTCCGCCCACCCCAGGAGGGACGGCAGCCACTCTCATCAGCAAGGCTCCGCCCACCCCAGGAGGGACGGCAGCCACTCCCATCAGCAAGGCTCCGCCCACCCCAGGAGGGACGACAGCCACTCCCATCAGCAAGGCTCCGCCCACCCCAGGAGGGACGGCAGCCACTCCCATCAGCAAGGCTCCGCCCACCCCAGGAGGGACGGCAGCCACTCCCTTCAGCAAGGCTCCGCCCACCCCAGGAGGGACGGCAGCCACTCCCATCAGCAAGGCTCCGCCCACCCCAGGAGGGACGACAGCCACTCCCTTCAGCAAGGCTCCCCCGGCCCCAAGCTTCACGCCCTGTTTAAGTTGCCACCAGGGGGAGCAAAACCGTGTTCAAATATCTCAGGACTCACAAATCTCACCTGAGAACACATCTCAGTTACACTGTTGGAAACCCTGCTCTGGGTGTGGAAGAAAACCAAACAAAAGCAACTTAGTTGCAGCCACATAAAGCGGCGCACCTGAGCCTCCCCGAGGTCGTTGTTCACCACGGTGAAGTTCAGCCCCAGCTCCTCCACGTCGCCCCCGTAGCTCTTGAGGAACAGCAGGTTCCTGTACACCTCGGGGTCCAGGGAAGCCAGGTGGTGGATGTCCACGTCGGCGCTGGTGCCCAGCAGCTTGGACAGGAAGAAGCCGGCGAAGGGCAGCTCCACCAGCATGTTCTCGTAGAGAGCCTGAAACAGGAACGGGGAGCGGTCAGCCTCTCGCAGGCATCCTTTGTTTCCAAGAAGAAAGCGCATGTCCCAGCCGGCGCCTTCGAGCGGGCTGCAGGTACGTGGTGAGCATCTACCCACCACGTGCCGGGCCTGCGTTAAGCCTTTGCTGCAGCCAGCATGTCAGAAACCCCCAAACAGACTGTCAGAGACTCTGAGGGCTGAAGTCATGATGTTAGTACCAACGGGGATTTTTAGGAGCCAAACCCTGCATGCAGCAAAGGAAACGGGCAGGCGCGTTCTGCAGAGGGCTTTGCAGGCGTATCGGTTTCGTAGGGCTGCCCTCACAAAGCACCACTCGGCAACAGGAACTTACTGCCTCCCAGCTCTGAGAGCCACAGGTCCAGAGGCAGGTGTCTCAGGGCCAGGCTGGTCCCTGAAGACCCAGGAAGGCTTTTCCTTCCTCTTCCAGCTCCTGCTGCTGCTACAATTCCCCACCCTCCAACGTGCTCCACCTCCCAGGCGGGGAGGAGCTAGAGGCTCGGCCTTGGCTCAGGTGATCATGAACTCTCTGGGGGGGACAGCCTGTGACCCTTGCCTGAGGCGACCCCAGCACAGTGGGGAGAGGGCTGCAGCAGCCCTGCCCTGGAGAGGTGTGAGGCCTGCCGTGGGAGGCGGTGTGATGAAGTGGCTGCGTCAGCTGCTGCTCTAAGATGAGTGCTCTCGCGTGGCTCACGGCATCCAAACACGAAACCAGCGCTTTCTCCGGGGCACCCTCCAGTCACGAAAGTGACTGAATTGTAAGTCACTCTTCCTTCCACACACAGCGAGGCGAGCTCAGCGAGACGGACACTGGGCTCAGCTCCAGGCTGCAGCGCGGCCCCAGCCCCGGCAGAGGAGCAGTCTGCCAGCGCCTGCGCTCGCCGTGGTCTCGGAACCATTTCCACGGCGGCTCCCACACAGGCACAGGAAGCAGCTGTCCCATGGGGGCAGTTGACAAATGACATACTCACGCGTGTCTCCTACCCCCGAACACCCAGAGGTGCTCACAGATGCCCTGAGGCCCACGCTACAGTCTCGCCACGAACAGGAGCCCAGGAAACTAGAACTGGCGGGTAACTACCTCCCTAGAGAAAGGCTGCGCGATGCCCCTCTGTCCACGTGGACTCCACACAGCTCTCCCTGAGCCTCAGGGAGACGAGGTCCCGTGCTCTCATTTCTGACCTGGAGGCTCAGGGCTGCCTTGCGGGAGACCGAGTCGTCATGTGGCGCTGGCGGTGCAGAGGCTGTTGAAGCCGCCTGCTCGGCGACGAGGGCGGAGACCGGGAATCTGCAGCCAGGCGCCCGCTGCCCCTGCACGAACAGACCAGGGGCGGCTCGGCAGGGACGACGAGATCGGCCCCGGGGGCTGCGGAGGGCCTCACCTGTGCCGTGGGTTCTGGAGTGAGGTGCAGGTGTGACCGTCACGCGGCCAGGATGCACAGCCATGTTCGCCATTTCTGCGACAGTGCACAAGCAGTGAACCGCACAGCAGAGCCGAGCGAGCTGCATCTTAAACAGGATCCCATGGTGACTCATAAACGTAAGTGCTTAGGTGCAATTTTTTACAGACGGCAGCTTTAAACCTCAGAGCATTTAATATACAAGCACTAATAAATGATAGTGCTGAAAACTATGACTGCATCGGCTAAATGGATTATAAATTAAATTTCCATAATGTATGCAACCGAGATACAAATGTAGCATAAATCAAGGTATTTTCTAAACACAGGTTAATTATACAACTTCAAAAACTGCCTATTTTTTATGCAAAATAATCCACTTAGCATTTTTCATCTTGGCCTCCATCACAGCCAGCTGACCACGCTGGTTCCCGAGGCGCATCAATAACCCCTGTCACGGAAAGTAGCCATAGGTATATGGAAAAAACCTGTAACGGATTTTTCAACTGTCTGTCTTTTATGAGTGTTTATAGCTAGAAATTGTGCCAAAATGATCTGAAATAAAAAGGATTAATTATCGTAGAAGCCTTTTAATATAAGTGAGTGCAGCCGAGTGCAATTAATGCAAACGGTGGCACCCTCAGAACTGATGCGGACCTCACCGTGTCGTTTCTGTTGCTGCCAAACAACGCCGGTAATTTACTACATTAAGAATCAATAAAAAAATAATGCTTTTCAAATGCATCTTTATCAATCTTCAGGCAGTTCCAAAGCGAATGTTTATAACTTAATCTGAGAACTGTACTGGAGGTGTCTTTTCTAAGGCCCTAACTGAGCAGCAGTGAACCTGACTTCAGACCACCTCAGCCTGGCGCAGGGATCGAGGGAACGGACGGGCGCCTGGGCTGACCGCAGGCTCCCAGAGGGCAGGACACACGTGCCATCTCTAACGGGAGCCTGCAGACGCACCTGTGCCTGACCACCGCCTGCCGCCTGTGTGCTGGGGACCACCTCACAGCCTGGGCTTCTGCGTTCGCAAGAAAACATGTGTTCTCTGCGGGGTAGTTCAGGTCACGGAAACCACCTGTCTGTCCCAATTCATTGCCTTTGCCACTGGCTGCAGACACCCCACAATGGCTCACTCCGTGCATGGCCTACCTGTTGCATTGCTCTGCAGGAAGACCTGTGCCAGGGAAGTATTGTCTCCACGGCCCACGTGCACACCCCAGGACCAGAGAGCCTGGGCCACACCCTCTGCCCCTGACTCAGCCAGGCACTGAGCACACTCGGGCACCCTAGTGATTCCTTAACACTGACAGAGCGGAGCAGACACTGCTACCATGACTCAGCAGTGTCCACTGGGGACACAGCAGGATCCAGGGTCCTGGTGTTTGTGGGAAAGGCACCACTGGAGGCGCTGAGGCACCCCAGGACGCTGGCACACCCTCCCTAGCTTCCTCTCCCCTGGAGGTGCCTGTGCGCTCCTCTGAGACAGGCGCACAGGATGGGCGGAGGGGCTGCCAGCGTGCCCACCACCAGCACTGCAGGGGCACTTCCGGGACGAGATGTTCCCTGGTTCAATGCAACTGAAATCTGCACATCTGGTCTGAAGCTTCTTCTGAAACGCGCCCTCAGTTCGGAAGCCCTGGGTGCTGGGGGAGATGGAGTACACCTGTCACACCGTCTCCTCATGGCATATCCAGAGAGCGACCCACAGGATGAGAACACGGTCCACCGGCCAGAGCTGAGCCCTGGGGTGCTGGGGAGATGGAGTACACCTGCCACACCGTCTCCTCATGGCATATCCAGAGAGCGACCCACAGGATGAGAACACGGTCCACCGGCCAGAGCTGAGCCTCACAGAGGAGAAATGGTCTCTGGCTCCTTCCCCCCGCCCAGTAAACCTGTCCACGAGGTCACGACCAAAGGGTCTGCCAGGAACCCCGAGAGCAGGGCTGGGCTCAGAAGGGCCAGCTCTCCCTGCTCTGCGGGCACCCAGGGGACGACGCCAGTCCAGGTGGGCACCACCACGGCCAAGAATACGGCCAGCGATGAGACTCGTCGGCCCCGGCCGGCGTGGCTCGGCGGCCAGCACTGACCCATGCACTGGAAGTTGTGGGTGTGATCCCCGGTCGGGGTGTGTGCAGGAGGCAGTCCATCAATGCCTCTCTCTCTCTCTCTGTTTTTTCACCCCCCACCCCTTCCTCTCTAAAATCAGTTTAAAAATCAACAAAAAAACATATCCTTGGGTGAGGATTACAAAAAAACAACTATGACCTTGACTGACAAAAATAACCTCTAGACCTGTGACTACGTGTCGTAATGGAAAAGGACACCAAGTGCAGTTATCAGGACGCTGTCAACCCAGGCACAATGTGCAAAAGGGGTTGGATTCAAATACAGTCGTCATTTGTAAATAATGAGCTTCGATCAGAGCATGCTCGTGAAACCCGCTGACGTCGGAGGGAGCAAGTCTCAGCAGTGCTGGGAAGGCTGTGCTTCGCACGGGACCATCACCCTCTGCTGAATGTCATGTCCGAAGCACCGAGGAGCAGGGTGTGGACTTCAGACCGCAGCTCCCCATGTGGCCACCCGACACGTGCTGCGTCTGAGTCGGAACGAGAAGGGAGCTGGGCCACCGAGGGGCCGAGACGTACATCCTGACGTCCACCTTCGTTCACGGTCCTGAAGCCTCAGCAAATCAGCGAGCGTTTTATAAAAGGACCCAAATGACAATGAATAGACTGTCCCCACTCAGAGCTCTCAGGATCACCTGCTGACTACTCCGCACACTGTTAAGGGACACTGAATTCTACTAACACACAGAATTCCAAGCTGCACTGATGCGTCATGACCTGCTAATTGAAGAGTTGAGATATACAACCGAGGTTTTGCACACAATCTGACTCGCAGGCTGTTCCAATCAGATCAATATTCTAAAGCAAGGGAAAAAAAAGCCATTTTCGAGTAGAATTCAAATATGATAAAAGATTTCCTTCAATAAATATTGTGAACTTAATTGACTTAAATGGACCTGGGTGCTTCTGTCTGTGAACACAGTTGAGGTGATATGACCGCATCGCTGAGCTGTTTATTTATTCCCGTCGGGCCTGACTGGGTGATTTACAGGCGGGAAGCGCAGCCCCGCCCGCGGGCAGGCCGCTCAGCTAATGGAGCTGCTAATGGAGGAGGGAGCGCACCAGGGAGCTCTCTCCCCGCAGGACGCGCGGGCCCTCATGCTCTCCATCACTGCGAGCAATCACTAACGCATGCATTAGGGAAATTTAAATACATCATGACCCAATAAACACCATCATCAATCAGCACAGCTTCTCCCGTGAAGACCTGGGCTGCCGTCACACCCCTCAGGCCACCAGACGCGTGTCCGAAGCCAGTGCTCCCTCAGGGATTTCCACGCAGAAAATCACGTATGTTTCAAATATGTGGAGCTGCCATAGGTGAACTCATCCCTGAAGGTCTCTAGTTTTGTTACTGGTTTTGTCCAAATGTCTTACTTTAAATAGCTTATATATGAACTTCATTGTTGGAAGAATGGCTGAGACCCCAAATTCTCCTGCC